TCCGGCTCTGGCTTTTCTTTGGCAAAGCCCTGTTTATACATGGGTTCTTTCTAGTTCATGGTTGTCATGACAGCTGCTCTCAGTGGCTCCAATTAGCGGATTCCAAGGCTCATCTTGTACACTAAGAGCATTCCTACCTTATAATAACTGTTTATCTCTACTACTGTTAAAGAGTCCATCCTTCTACTTCCCACTGTCTCTTCACCTCTAGAAGAAGATTAAGAAGAAATAAAGTTGGTCTGCCCTATAGCCTAGTGATTAAGGGAGCCACATCCCACATGGCTGACTGAGTTTTGAATCCCAATCCCAGCAACCTGAAAACTATGCTGGGTGTGTACTTGTACACAAAGTCCCAACAAGATGGAGAAACAGAGGAGAAGGGATTATTGCATGACCACACCCTATTGGGTAATGCTTTCTCACTTTCCTTTTATCTCTCTGTCTCTGTCTGTCTCTGGAAAGCATGTATACCCTCTGGCAATTAAGAAAAAGTCTATAAAAAGAAGAAATGAAGTCACACACCTGTGAGAACTTTTGCTTGGAGTGGGTGACCAAAGGCAAACCAAAGTCAAGGTAAATCCTAGTAATCTATGTGTACATCCTCCCCTTCTAGTCTTTTCTACAGTTAAAAACAGAAACCCTGGATCTGAGTGATTTGTAAAGAGGAGTCTGTTACTGTCCTGGTTTTATAGGCTGAGAAACGCAAGGGCATGATGCCAGCATCTGATGAAGGCCTTCTTGTCACACTGCGACATGGTAGAGTGCAGGAGGACATGTGCCTGTACTCAGGTATTTTTTATAAATCCATGAATATTCAGCTGAGTCTCCCCACCCCTGATGATCTTATTTAATCCTAATCATCCCCCAAAGGTTCCATCTCTTAATCTCACAGTTAGATAAAGGTTACACCCTCTCAATACTTTCACAAAGGTTCAACAAATTTTAGCACATGAATTTGAGGGGGACACATTCAAACTATAGCAGTCCTGCTAATGACAATGTCAGGTTCAGACCCATTTGGTGTTTGTCATTGGTGAGAATGAGCACAAAAGGATGGTGCATCACAGATGTTTTCATGTGGTGACACATAGACAAAATGGGATTTGCTGATATACTGGGATCCCTGAGAGTGCTGTGTGCTGATATACCCAACCCCAGGGACGCAGACCCACCCCCAACCATACCCTCTGACATGGTCACCTTGAAGGCCAAGAGGTCAATGTTTTGGCACATCAGCAACCCATAACAGCACCGCAATGAAGTTAGACAAAACAAGAAATATGAGAAGCTGAGGGGCCACCAATTACCCACTAGGACTCAATAGGTCTTCTTTTCCTTATTGCTCAAAACTGATCCACTTCTCACTCCAGCTTTCTGTACCACCCATTTGGCACCAGCTTCTAAGTTTTCTCTGTCCCACTTCAGAGCGCCTAATGGGGCTATGGTTTAGGAGGGACATGCCAGTACTGGAAGCCATGGGGCTTACCAGGTGTCTTTCCTTTCTTCCCCCTTAAATTCCTTCATCTTAAGAATGACTGCTTCGGGATCCAGCAGTTAGCGTAATGGCTGTGTCGCTGGACTCCCACGTAGTTGACCGTGGTTTGTGTCCTGGACCTGGTGGCTTAAAACTCACGCCGTGCGCGTGTGTGTGCGTGCCCAAGATCCCAAGAGGAGAATGGAGGAGAAGGGACTGCGGCATGACCATCCCCTCTGGGGGGTGATTTCTCGCTTTCTGTCTCTATGTCTCTCTCTGTCTGTCTGGCGAGCGCACGCGCCCTATAGCAAAAACCTCTCCCAGCAGTTAGCGTAATGGCTATGTCACAGGACTCCCACGTAGTTGACCATGGTTCGAGTCCCAGACCTGGTGGCTTGAAACTCACACTGGGCATGTGTGCATGTGTGCCCAAGATCCCGAGAGGAGAATGGAGGAGAAGGGATTGAGGCATGGCCATCCCCCCTAGGGGGTGATTTCTCACTTTCTGTTTCTCTGTCTCTCTCTCTGGCTGGCGAGCGCCCGCCCCCTAAAGCAAAAACCCCCCCAAAAAAAAAAAAAAAAAGAATGACTGCTTCCAAAGCCACCTCCCACTAAATCAACAGATCCTATGTCAACCACATCCTCATCCTCCTTTGGCTTGTTCACTAAATTTTCCTTAAATGTACCAATATGTACTTGGCCTTCTTAATTCATTCTTCTCTATATTTCCCATCAAGGCCTCTCTGATTCTAACTTTATCTCCTAAGGCAGTTTTCAATGTTTAAACTTTTAATTACTTAATTTTTAAATTTAAAAACAACAGCAAAAACTGGAGACTTTCTTCACAGGGTACTTAACACAAGGACAGAAACAGAAAACCTCTAGTATTAGGGAGAGGAGCCCCTGGAGAATTTTCAAGGACTCTGAATGGAGACAGTTGCTGGAAGGCACTGACCTTCTCCGGGCAACCTCCTGTCCCACATCAGCCTCAAGACAACTGATTCTGTCCCCTTGGAGCCTCAAATAACAAGGACTCACATAGGGTTCAGGAACTGTCTCCAGGACACATTGTATATCTATGATAGCCCCAAAACAGCAGAGGTAGAATACTGTCCTTTAACACAGTCAATGGAGAGAAGGAAAAGACAATACATTGTAGCATTTGACATCAATAAGGAAAGGGACTGAGGATTTCCTGGGGGAAGGCTGGTGAAACCTTGGTTTTATATGTGACTACTGACCTAGTTCACCATCTCAAACTTTCATACTTCTTCCTTACCCTCATGGTTGGATAAAAATCAGAAATTTATTTTACTTCCTATTTCTTTTTCTTTTCTTTTGCTTTTTCATTTTTTTTTTTAAGGTTTTTGCCATAGGGCATGTGCACTTGCCAGAGAGACAGAAACAGTGAGAGGGAAAGTAAGAAATCAGCCCCCAGCGTGGATGGCCATGACATAATCCCCTCTGCTCCATTCTCCTCCTGGAATCTTGGGCACACACGCACACAAGCACCTGAAGTGATTTTCAAGTCACCAGGTCTGGGACTTGAACCACAGTTGGCCATGTGGAACTCTGGTGCCTTAAGCACACTACCTACTGGCCCTTCACCTCCTATTTCTAACAGCCTTAGTTAGGCTAGAATTAATAGTCCTCCATATATGGAATATGTGCTTTGACACTGCCAAAGACTTGGGAAAGAAACAGCTAGTTCATGCTTCTTTAGGACCAAGCCTCATTGATCTAGCTTAGAGGCTGGACTGCCCATGTTGCAGTGTATCTTTTGAGAGTGCAAGCTGTACTTTTATCTTTGTGTTTCTAAAAACTCAACAAGACCAGAAAAGGTCCTCCAAACCACAGCTGATGGGTGGAAGTGGGTCCATAAAGCCTAGAAGATTGTGGGAACCTGTTCATCATTAGCAGAACACAGGCAGAGACTATTCAATGTTTTGTTTTGTTTAGGAGAGGTTTTTGCTATAGGGCGTGTGCACTCACCAGAAAGAGAGAGACAGAAAGCGAGAAATCACCCCCCAGGGGGGATGGCCATGCCGCAATCCCTTCTCCTCCATTCTCCTCTCAGGATCTTGGGCACACACACACACGTGCCCAGCGTGAGTTTAAGCCACCGGGTCCGGGACTCGAACCATGGTCGGCTACATGAGAGTCCAACAACATAGCCATTATGCTAACTGCTGGTCCTGAGACTACTGGATGTTAATCAAAAACACTTTTCCTTTCTTTTTGGCAGTTAGCACCAACCCCATGACTGAGCCCAAAGGATATGAGCAGAGTGATGAGTGCTATTTCTGGACAGGTTTTAAGAGATAGATGTGTCCATTTTTTGCTCTTTTTCTTTCTTTGTAGCTGGGTACAGAAGGTGATTAGTCCTATAGGATAGCAGAACTTGGGTCCTTGAACAACCTTATGGAAGAGAGCCACCCACTGAACAGGAATACACATTGTAGACTACAACATCAGAATTAAATAAACTTCTGTTGTATTAAAGCAATTGACCTTTTAGGGAGACTTTTTGTCACTGCAAGTTAGACTATCTTAATATATCGCCAATATTATTGGGTCGTTGGGAAAGTCATGGTGCATTTATTCATAGAAAAACATAGAAAAATATGTCATGACTTTCTGGATGACCTAGTAATTTGCAAAGAGGAGGTCTTGAATAGCTTATATTTTAAAGATTCCCCGTAAAATCTTTATGAAGTCCTGCTTTTCACCACTTACACTGAAAAATTATTCCTAATTTAAAAAATAATAACGTGATTCCAGCCCTTATTTGAGATTTTTTAAAGTTTTTTTTGTCACAGGGTGTATGGGCTTGCCAGAGAATAAGACAGAGAGAGAGAAAGAGAGAGAGAGAGAAAGAGAGAGAGAGAGAGAGAGACAGAGAGAGAGAGAGAGAGAGGTGAGAAATCACTGCCCAGGGGGAATCCCCCTCTCAGGATTTTGGGCATGCACACACACACACACACACACACACACACACACACCCCGGGTGTGATTTTCAAGCCACCAGTCTGACCACAAACTGTCACTGGCCACATGGAAGTCCAATGCCTTAACTACAGTGCCACCTGCTGGTCCTGCCCTTATTAGAATTTATCATTGATTTCAAATGAATGGCTTGAGACCCTAAGACAGTTTTACTTACATTCCTATAACCAGTAGGTTAGGCAAATTCCAGAAAAACACATACGTGACAAATCAATGAGAAGTCATTGACTTAGGATTGGAGATTTGAAGTCACTAAATCCTATCTCTAATGAGTCATGGGGGGTCCCAGCAGGTGGCATGGTAAAGGTGCTGAATTCCCTCATGGTCAACCTTGGGAGAAGTCTTAAACCTGGCAGCTTTTGCTTTCACACTTAATCTCTCTCTCTGGTGAGCACAAATGCCCTACAGAAATTTAAAAATAAGAAGTAAAGTTAAATAAATAATTATTGTTAAAAGACAGAGAGAGAGAGAGGGTCCTGGGATAGCCATAGCTTCAGGACCAGAAGAGCCCTCATCTCACCTGACTCCCGCGTCCGACCACGCACCACTTCGCTCCATGGCCCAGCCCCAATGGTGTTGAATGCCTGCATCTGCAGCTCATATTCAGTCCACTCTTCCAGTTCCTCGATGGTGAATTCCCTTTCAAGCCGGTCATTGACAACTTGTGTCAGTGCCGAAGACTGAAGGTCTGAGCGCCAGTACTTGATCCTGTAGCCCACAGACTCAGGGTTCCCATTGTACTGGGAATCAGGCAGGGGCTGGAAATGAATGGCAGTGTGTGATGAGCTGACACCTTAGAATTGTTACCTTTTAAAGCCTCAGAGTCGGGGCTTATTTTGTGAGGTCAATTTCATGAAAAATAACTTTGGGGGAATATTCTTAGAACTTTCTACTCTTTATTTCCTGAAACTTTTCTACCGTTAATTAAATGAAACCCTGTCAGTAACTTTGGCTGGACATAATTTCTTTTAATACATTTTGGCTTAATTCTGTGGAGAAATGTTCTGATTAAATATTAGGCTGGCTCTTTTACAAATACTGAGTATTGGTTCCATGTTGACCTAGCTTAAGGATTTACTAGTCCAGCATGTGGCACCATTAGCTTTCCTCCCCTTAACAATATTCCTCAGTTCTAAGAACAGAGTGAGTAATACTGCTAATTAATAAGATATCCTTGCCTGGTCTGAGATTCAACACTAACTATAAAAAGTAATACTTTTTAGGTTAACAATGTAATTAATTTTGACCAGAAAAAAGGCATGACTAAGGAAATATTAAGCCCTAGACTCATACATGTGCTCTCACCACCCGGAGACTATTATCCCTAGAGTCTCTTCTCTGCTTTCAACTTACCACCCAGCGAAGCCGCAAACTGGTCTCGCTAGCTGTTCGGACTGTGATGCTGGTTGGAGCCACATCTGGTGGGGCCTGCAGGGTCTGAATAACCCGAGATGACTGACTGAAAGGGCTTGGACCAACAATGTTCACTTGCCTCATCCGAAATCTAAAGGTAAAACCAATGATGAGAGTTATCTCAAAGCAAAAGGTAATAAGGAAAAGGCAAAACAAAACAAAAATCCACAAGTGTTTCTCAGGGGAGAGCTCAGATATGTGTCCACCTAGATCATGAAGGCCATCGTTCTTTCGACCAGCTTTCATTAAAAATGCAAATGACATACATGGCTCTTTTCCCTAAAAAACCTTCAAAGAATGGTAGATTGCAATTCACTGATTTTATATTCCCAAGTAAAACATAATTAGATGGGTTAGATGGTCAGAAAGCTACATCGTCATCTACCTTAAGTTTAGGGTTTCATTGGGAGATTAAAGTTCAAGTAGCTAGTCAACAGAATTGGAATGTTCCTGTCAAATGACAGTTTTAGAAGTCTAATGTCCTTTTTTTTTTCTCTTTAAATTTATTTATTTTTTATATTAATTCACTATACATCATTACAGCATACAGATGAATTTTCCATCCAAAATACACTGTGTATTGGCTCAATCAAGCACATCAACATACATGTTAGCAGCAAATAATTTTCTAATTCTAATGTCTTGTATACTTTGTTTTTCATTTTGCCATCCTTGATTCCCTCTGCCATGTCCCACCCTCCTCCCACATTGTCTCTGTCTAATGTCCTTTTAATGACTAAGGGTCCCTTTGCACGTTTGTTGCCTATTAGTTCAGAAGAACAATGGCCCCAGAATCTACACCTTGGGATCCTAATCAGTGGCTAACTGTGAAACCTTCAGCAAATCAAACTTGTCTCAATTTGTTTATCTGGAAAGTGAAGGTGGAGTTAAATATTATTTAAAGTCTATATTAATGCTTTCAGTTCTGCTTCATATATATGTTACATCTATCTATTTATCTACTATCTATCTATCTATCTATCTATCTATCTATCTATCTATCTATCTATCTATCTATAATTATATAAATTAAATTTACATACAGAAAAGCTCCTAAGTGTGTACACAGGTATTTATTACAGAGGTTCCCTAAATTTATATTAATTTAAGAGAGGAACGCTGATCTATAATCATAGTTACTGATCTTTGTAATAATTATATAGCTTTAGCTAATTTCACACAGTAAGTTATGAATCCCAACAGCTCATTTTAAGCTAAATGTTTTTCCCTAAAAACGATGATATTATGTCCTGCTTTGCCTGCTCTAATTTTAGGATGGGTGTTAAAATGAAGTTAAATAGTCTCCAGCTAGAGATTTTTAAATTCTAACCTTAGTATTGTACTGAAAAAATGTTCTTCACAAAGACATAATTTCACCTTTCACTCCCTGAATTAGTAATTCTTATTCTTTCATTCCCTGATCTTTATGAAACGCACCCACCCTGGCAGAACAATGACATTATCAGACTCAACATCTGGTGATAACTGGAAATTTCATCTCCTTCAATGATCTTACGGGAAGTTATAATATCGCTAACAGCTCATGATCACTCTACCCTTTGTTAAGGCCAAGGATTTACAGCCCGAATAAGTTTCAGGATCAAGAAGCAAAAGGTTAAATGGCATGTTAAGTGCTTGATTAGTGAGACTAGCAACTCCTGGGCCCTGGCAGGGGGAAGCAGAAGGATGTTCCTAGGACATCTGCTTTGTTTGCACACAGCATGTTAATAGTCCCAAGAGGTCTTAGAGTTTGGTAAAGTAAAGTGCACATCTCTGCTGCCTGTGGTTCTTGGTTATTAAGCCTAATATAATAGCAAGCTATTTCTATGGGTATATTGCTGGCTAGTATTGACAGAAAGAAGATTGTTAATCTAATATCTGAGTATACTCTCTCACAGAATAATACTCAATTATGTTTCGTGCCTACTCCTTAAGGTTTTGATTCACTGTTATTGCTACTTGGAAATGGCTAATTTACATACATGTAACTGGATTTTGTTAATGCTGACAGAAGCCATCTGCTTGAGATGCCAACATTTTCTTCTGCGCACCTTATCATCTGCTGTTCTCACCTGTAGTGAGTGTAGGGTGTGAGGTTTGGGATTTCCAATGTCTGTGCATCAGGCTCATTTTCCTCTTCATAGAGGCTTACCCACTCCTCCTCGTCACCTATGGCTCCAACCTGTAGAAGGGAAGATCCTGGGATCAGCTGGATAAGCGTAAAGACAGAGGCTGCTTTATGGTATGTGCACTTGCCTGGTATGTGGTGGGCTGGACAGAGCCACTGGATGTCCCCCTCGCCTGGAAGAAACTGAGTCCTGCACATCTCCTTTTGTGCCATAGAGGTACAGGCTCTTGTACTCTCACCATCAAGTCTAGGTAGTTGCTGAAATGGTCACAATTAAGAATGGGGCCTCAGGAGGGCTGGACCTGAAGGGCAAAACTTCTAGAAACAAACCTCCTAGAGCTCAGAGACCATCCGTGATGAAGAGGACCTTCCAAACTATCTTTTTCCTCCTTTGAAAGGTGAGGACTCAAAGAGAGGCTCATGGAAACTTGCTGGAATCTCATGTTAAGGGGTGATGGAGCCACAGGCACAGGTGGAGTGTCCTCACTCAGGTTCCAGGGCCATTCGTACTATATGCTTACCAGGTCTCTCCCCATTTCTACCCTTGCCCTTTCTGTCCCAAACACACACCAAAACGATACCACTGCTGGCCCTTAGTATGAAGAAAGTCCTCATCTTATACAGAAAATGACTTGACTTCACCTTGGAACCCAGACCCTGCAGGAGGATTTCCTTTAAGATGTAAAAGAAGCACATTCAGGCAGAGCTGATTAGGAAGAATCATCCCCTCAAATAAGACTCATCCTTCTCAAGTCTGATAAAGAGGCCCCCTTGGATGCCTTCCAAGCCCTACCCCCTTAGTCTTTGGTCTTGCCCAGTGGCCTGTCTCTCACTGATTTTATTCCCCATCTGTGACCTCCATGACCTGCTGGCCTACCCTGGTATTACTTTTGATTCCTGTGATCATCCTAATCTGACCTCAAGCCATACTTCTCTCTCTGCCTTGTGCTTTCCTCTTACTAAAACCCAAAAGGCTGATGCAGCTTCTATTTCTGCCTGCACCAACTTAACCACACACTTCATTCCACCTTTGCTATGTCACCTGTACCTGTTCTAGCTAGACAACAGAAAAGACTCACAAACTTATGCCAGCCAGGAGGGCCCTAAGAGTTCCACTCTGCAGATTTCCTGCATCCTTGTCACAGGAACACTCTAGGCCTTGTGTGGTTGTGTTGTTCTGGAGGACCCAGGGGACACATTATCAAGGACCAGCTGTGAGCAGAAAGCATGTCGGGCCAAATAAGCTGGTTGAGGTGGGATCAGCCCAGGGCCCTGTGTGTTTAACACTTCATAAGTGACTTACATGACAGAAAAGGAAATGTGCTCATTAAATTTGCAGAGGAAACCAACTTGGCAGGTTGCCAAGTCATAGTTGGGTGGCATGAGAATTCAAAATGACCTGGGTAAACTGGAAAAATAGATGTGGAGGGCAAAGAGGAGACTAAGTAAATGCAAGTGCTGATGGCATGCTTGCTAAGGAAAATAGAATGCAAAGCAAAAAACTCTAACCACTCTAAAGTAGTGGTTAAAATAGCTGCTGGTTTCTTAAAAAGTTAAGTAGAGAGTTGTCATATGACTCAGCAATTCTACTACTATGTATATACCCTGAAAATGGCAGTGTAACAGATGCCTACACTCACTTGTTCATAGCACACTACTCACAATAGTCAAGAGATAGAAACAGAGGACCTGCAGATGGCATAATGCCTACGTTGCTGGACTCCCATGTAGTCGACTACGGTTTGAGTCCCAGATCCCGTGGCTTAAACTCACACCGGATGCGTGTGTGTGTGTGTGCCCAAGATCCTGAGAGGAGAATGGATGAGAATGGAAGAGATGAGATTGCGGTGTGGCCATCCCCCCCGGGGGGCGGGGAGTTCCACTTTCTGTCTCTCTGTCTCTGTCTGCCTTTCTGGCAAGCGCACCTGCCCTACAGTGAAAAACTCTCAAAAAAAAAAAAAGATGAAAACAAAGCAAATGTCCACTGATGAGTGGATAAACGAATTGTGATATATCTTGAAAAAAAAAAAAAAAAGCAGTTTAGACCAGTCTACGGAGGCAAAGTCCATTATCCCAAGTATAAGCATAGAGGCCTTGGGTTTCCCTCACATTCATAGGTGTTATTGCCCCAAAGCTAGGTTTAGTTTACAGTGACAATATGACTTGCAAACAGTTACAAATTTACAGCATGATCCCCACTCTTTCATCATTGCAATAGTCCTAAAATTCATGATGCAAAGAATAATGTATATCCAGTCAGTTGCCTGTGTTATTTAAAGTAAACCAAGGTAAATTCTTGGCAAGCAGTTTGTACCCTCTGCTCTTTGTGCCCTCCTCGTAGTTACATAAACTAGCCCTCAGGCAGCCATTTTGGTGTACACTTTCTAGGCAAGCAAAATCTGTGTTACCCAGGTAAATTGTCCTAAGCTTCCAGCTCAAATAAACTTCATTAACTGTGCCTCAACCTTTCTTTTTAGGCTGACAATCTGTACGATGGAGTAGCTGTCAACCATATAAAGGAACAAAGTACTGCTACAGGCTACCATGCGAATGAACCTCAAAAAAATTGGCTAAATAAAAGAAGCCAAACATTAAAGTCTATATATTGTATAATTCCATTATATAAACGACCTAGAGTAAGGAAATCCACAGAGATAGAATGCAGACCGATGATTTCCAGGGGCTGGGCAGAGAGGTGAAGGAGTAGTGACTGCTAGTGGGTATGAAGTTTCCTTTGGGGCTGAGGAAAAATGCTTTAGAATTAAATAGAGATAGTGGTTGTACAATATTGTGAATTTATAATACTAATTCGTAAATGGAATACTTCACTTTTTTATTTATTTAGTAAATTTAGTTTTAGGTTTTGCCTTAGGGAGTGGACACTCGCTAGAGAGAGACAGAGATAAAGACAGTGAGAGGGACAACGAAAAATTTCCCCCGGGGAAATGGCCACACTGCAATCCCTTTTCCATTTTTTTCTTGAGGTTTTGGGCATGCATGCACATGCTCTCAGTGTGAATTTCAAGCCACCAGGTCTGGGACTCAAACTATAGTTGGTCACGTGAGAATCCAGCACCTTAACCACCATGCCACTTGCTGGCCCTATAAACTGTATACTTTAAAATGATTTATTTCATGTTAAGCAAATTTTACCTCAACTGAAAGAGAAACATTAAAATAAAATGTGGGATGCCTGGTCCAAAACATTTGGAGGAAGACCTGGAGGTCAGAGTAGACAATTAGCCCAGGAGTCAGCAAAGCAGCAAGGCAGTCGAAACAGGGCTATGGAATTTGGAAAACACTGTGCAGTTTGCACGGCTGGAAGAGGAAGAGTGGGTGGTATCCTTGTACCAAAGTGGATCATTTCTGCACTGTGGCAGCCACTGAGGTCCTCAGTTCCTCACTTCAGAATTACAGAAATGAAAGAGCAAGAAAAAAAGAGTTCTTTGGATAGATTAAGGTTCTGCAGCATACTCCTCCTATAGAAGGAAAGGGTCTTGGCTAACTCTAGGTCTAGTGAGCACCAAATGTCCCCATGGGGCCATGGCTGCTGCCTGTCTCCTTCTACCATGTCAGTAAAGAGGAGTCTCTGAGGCAAGTAGAGGGTATTATTCCTCATTGTATCTCCAGCATCTCCCTCAGAATCCAGCCTAAACTTGGTGCTCAGACATATTTAACACATGAACAAATATACAAATAAAAATGTAAATGATTTGGGGACCAGCAGTTGGCCTAATGGCTATGTTGCTGGGCTCCCATGTAGTTGACAGCGGTTTGAGTCCTGGACTCGGTGGCTTAAACTCATGCCGGGTGCGTGTGCATGCCCAAGATCCCGAGAGGAGAATGGAAGGGAAGGGATTGTGGCATGGCCATCCCCCTAGGGAGTGATTTCTTGCCCTCTCTCTTTCTCTTTCTCTCTTTCTGGTGAGTGCACGCACCCTACAGCAAGAAAACCTCTTAAAAAATGTAAATGTTTTAAAAATCAATATTGAAAATGGTCGTTGTGCACAGAGCTCCCAAAGCAAATTATTACTAAAATATAACTTTATTTATAGACCTATTTATAGACCTAACTCTGTCTCCCAGCACAGTGTCTAGGGAAGAGAAGATACTCAGTATTTATGTGTGGGATCAATGGATGAATGAACTAACCTATAAGCAACAGGCAGGCAGAAATGATCCCAGCCCATTTCATACTAGAAAAAGCTGTGGCCCAGAAAAAAAAATGTACAGCAGCAGGGATGGAATGGGGAGGATGTCCAGCATTCTCTGGATACAGTGTGGAGGACCCCGGGTGCCTGAGCAGAGCCTGGGGTGAAGAGATGGGGATGGTGGGTGGGCTGGGCTAGAAATTGGGGAGGGGGAATATTAAGCCTCAGATTTTCTCAGTTCACATATTACTATTCTATCAACTATTAGTAAAGTTTAAGAATTCTCTCAAGTCCCAATTCTACCAAATTCAGTTGAATTTTTCTAGGTATAAAGGGGACCCTGTGGTAAATGTGGGCCCCTGCAGGTGGGTGAGTTGTTTCTGAGTTGAGGTGACTTATGAAGATTCCTCTAAGTAAAAGAAATTCTCTAGATATTAAACCAAAGCTGATGTGCTATTTCTTGAAAAGTACTACGTTTTTTTAAAAAAGGAAAAAGGAAGATAAAAAAGATGACTTCAATTTTAGGCCAGTCAGTTCTAGGCCTTTTATTTATCACTCAGTTCCATATTTAAATGCTAAAGAAAGCGCTTGCAATCAGGGTGCTCGTAGCTCATCCTGCTAAGTGACTGCAGTGGGCGCTTTGCCCTGGGCATTGGCTCCCACCATCTGGGCTCTGTAGTGATGGGGTGCTCCTTATGCTTTTTATCTCCTTCCTGTGCTGTGGGGGCTCGGGGACATGGACAGACAGGGAGTTTTACCTTTTCTCCCAGTGACCAAGGCAGGTAACTGTGGACGCTCATTTACCTTTACCAAGCACCTCCTCTTCTCTTTATTTCTCTCTACCCCTCCAGTCCCACCCTTCCAACCTTGGAAGCCAACTGGGAACTCCCCTGATGAGAAACA